AACCACATTCTCAACAGTATCCAAAGCCATTTGTCTCGTCCAAAATATTGTTTCCTTTAAACAGAAAAAAAGCCAAAAGGTAGGAAGAACAAGACGTAGGGAGAAGAACAAACGTACAGACAACAATCGATCACAGAGAAAATCTTTAAGACTGTGTGTTAGAATATAAACGCATACAGACGCATGCAGGATTCCATCACGCCACAGGCCATTACATTGACTCGCATTCATTCACCCCAAAAATGCATTTATTCCTTGACCCTGAAAGGATGATGAGTCCCCACAGTGTGACTAGGTAAATGGATTTATGTCCCCACAACATGAGTAAGTAAACACACACACACACCAGCTGAGGATACCAGCTGAGCAGGCAGATGTCCAGACAGCTGTGGATACAAAAACAGTTTTGACAACTCTTTATTTTGAACCAAGCCAGGATTGAGACTTCTGAAATTGTATACAATGATGATTAAGAATAATATTGATATTCATTTCTTGGCTTCAGGTTATTCTTCCTATTTCTGTGCAATGATAGCCATCACATTGATGTAAAACTCCTAATAACTTCTGCCAATAAACAAGTGTTGCTCAAGCTTGCGATTTGTGAAAAGCACATAATTCCACTTGGCTAGAAAATGGGTCATTTACCCAACTGTTCAAGCTTAGCTGTGAGTGAGCCAGTTTGACACTTTCAATTATTAAAGGCAGCACCTGTCTCCTTTCAAATTTCAGTGGCTCAGATCACTGTGCAAACAGCCCTGCAGAGCCAAAACCTATTCTGCACAGATTTTAAAGCAACAGTCATCGAAATGAAATAGGATATTGGTGTGATACAGGATTGAAAGAGGAGGGATACAGTTGGACCGCATCTGCTGGGACAAGTCCTCATTCTCCAGCCTACTTCTATCCCTTTCCTTACTACTCCCTCATTGAGTAATTGACTTTCTCTTGGAATGGTGGTGTCCAATCTAAATGGTAATTTGGAAGACCCTCCTCTTGTCACTGGTGGTAATGTTTGTTTACTGGAAGACAGTGACTCCACAGGAAAATTAGAGCTGTAATCAGAAGGCTGTCTGTCATGAGACAATATATGTCAAACTGAGATCTCAGAAAAAGAAAAACAGACTGTTAAAACACTTATTTTTAATTATTTTTATTTAGATTTTAAATAGAGCCCTCTGTGTGTATGCCCTCTCGTCATTTACTTATGTTTTCCCCAGCTGCTTTGGTTTCATCCCATATTCAAAACACATGCAAGGCAGGTATGTTGGAGGCTCTAAAGCAGTCCACAGGTATACATTTTCATTCTCTTTGTGTTATGCAATCTGTCTAAGGTGGTTTCCTGCCTTCCAGCAAATAGATGCTGGAATAAGAGCCAGTCCACCTCAAATTTAAAAAGAATTAATGGAGTAAAGAAAGACTAAATCAAATGTGCTGGAAAGGAAATGAGGTTGAACAAATAAGATTTTCGATTTCTTCTGATACATCATGGTGACTAATCGAAAATGCTGAATAAAAAATGACCTTATGTAGCTTTAACGCAGACGGTAATTTGAATATATATTGCTAATATTTTTTTCTACATGGACAGTGAAGAATGTCGAAAGTGATTTTGCCATTTTAATACTGAAGTTAAAGAAACAGGCATCTGGAAGGACTATATAGTTTTTTGTTTTCATACATTGCAAGGTATGAGCATTTCACATCCTCTAATTTTAACTTTTAGATGGCATGACAGTGTTTATATGATAGAAAATTAAAAAATAAAAATGTACACAAGTGTACAAGGAAGGAACAAGCTGCATTTTGCAGCACCTTCTAATTTTAACTTTTCAATTTAGAAAGTCGTTCTATAAGAAAATGTCAGTTTAATAATTCTCCAAAGTTTAAAAACACTATATTACAAGAGTTGCATGTGAGCATCAGGGGAATTAATGTTCTGAATCCGCTACAATCAGGATTTTAGGGCGACAATCCTAAGGGATTAATAATGAGTTATATTTGACAGTAACACCACTGCTACTGAAAACTCTAGTTTTTTTTTTTTTTTTTTAAAGATGCTCACCTTGGTTGCATAAACTGTCAATCACCCATAATAATCCATTTTACATGACTACCCAGTTAGTGTTGAGGAAAGTTTATTTACAAAGACAATATTGGCTCACACATATTAATTTCATATCAGTTTTCATTAGATGGGTTATGTAAACTGTTTTAATAGTTATGGCTATGTTTAAGGTCAGCTGTCTGATGGTGGTTGCCAGTGATTGAATCAATGTAACCACAGTGAATCAACATACAGTATGTTGCTGCGTTCTGGCGCAGCACTTTTCAATTAAAAGCTGTCCGAATTATTTCAAAGGATTATGGGGATTTAGCCAACTGAAGGGGGAAGTATTTCTTACACATTCAAGATGCTATGAATGACTCATAACAATAACACAAAGTCAACACAGAAAAAGGGCAAAAGTTATTTCTCATCCAGTGTGTATCTAAAAGAAACCTGAAGTAACATTCTTCAGTTAACATGAGTGGCTTTCCCTGAATAACCTTCTGACTTGAAACTGAGAAACTTGACTTATGCATGACCAAGACTCAGCCTGTGTCTCTGCCTAAGAATCCTTCATACGATACAAGGCAGCAGGCAGGCTCCAAGTGATTTTTTGACAGGTCAGTGAAACTAAGAAAGAGTCTGAACAAAGAAAACGACTTTGGAAAGAGCAGCATTGCCATTTTCTTGACCATCTATATTTCACTACAAACTGTGTCACCATATAGTCCTCAGGGCCCATAAACACACATATACAGTAGTTCTCATATTATATATACTGGAGAGGATGACATTTTTTTTTCCTATCACGAAATGCATTTTTATAGTGAAACAAGTAGCACATTTGGCCCCAGGCACTCTAAATCAACAAAATTAATAGTTTTTATGAGTGTAAAAACATCACTAATTATTACAATAAAATCAATAAATGGCCATTTTAACAAAGCCCAGTGTGGAAAAACAGTTAAAATTTGAGGCAGACAAGAGCTTGCAAACTGAAAATCAGAAGGAACAAGAATGATTCACTGCTCATATTTAATTCAGGATACTTGGCTTCAGGTATGAGTAAATTCACTGCTGCACTCTTTGCCCTACTTTCCTGCCTTTTGTCATATTTTATTGATTTACAACTCAGATTGCATTTCAATGATCTCTCTATCAGGTATGTTAGGCAGTATTCTGAATGACAAAGCCGCATGCCCCTATATCCATAATCCTTTAACAATGTCCTCATGCATACCCATTTGCTGCACACCAACCTAAAGGCCCCTTCCCATGCATAATTTCTAGATTCCTTACTATTGGCTACACATATTGAACATCACCAGAATTTCTTCGTATAATGCAAACCTGAAGGTTATGCATGATTAATCCATATTTCACCGATTTCCCATATAAGACAATAAGAAATATGGCTGGATCCATTAGTTACTTCTTACATTTTGCTTATGTGTCACAAGGTCAAATTTATAAGATTTCTGCTGTATGTTACTCACAGGTCCTAGTAAGACAAACTCCCACCAGCTTCCTGTAAAGGAGCTCTGCACTAAGGCATGTTTATTTGCTCCTGAAATAGACAGCGGGGATTCTCTGATTCAAATGTAAAGACATTCATGTCTGTAAAGCTTTGAATATTTTGTACAGATAAAAGGCTAAGAGCTACAGCAGAGGCTTACTCCAGTGTTGACTACAAATAAATACTGCAAAGACAGCACATGCTGCATCTCCTCTGCAGGTACAGTATAATATAGCTCATTCTGTAATGGCAAAAAGCTGTAACTAAAAATAAGAAAGACCCCCGACTATCTTGCTTACAGCTGGTTAATTTAGAGTACAATATTTGGTCAACTTAACCTTCACTGCATACCATTACCACTTTCTTAGACCAGACTTCTTTTTTGGGGGGTTTGCAATTTAAAGTTAGCAACTGTTGAAAGGAAATAGCTTGTGCATGTGAAATACATGTTAGAGAAGTATGTGCAAGCGATTAATATCAGTAAATCTGGCTGGGAGCTGGTGTTGGAAGGTTGTGACTGGATGAAGTGGTAATTAACCACAGCAATGGGGTGGCTCCATTGTCCCGCCCATGCGTCAGCAGACGACTGTCCAGCCTGAGACAGAGACACAGTTCAAAGAAAGTTCCATCCTTTACACAGGAAACATAATTAAAATTTCTCCTCTACGAAACAGCCAGCCCGATCTGTGTCATGTTGTGCTACCGTACTGCTATATACTGTACTGTTCATACTTGGAGTAGACAGTGTAAATTCCACCAGTGAGTTATGTTTCTTAGCCTGAACAATATCCAGACCTTCGGACCTGTGCATTGCTCAACCACAGGATGGAAAGATCAAGAAGACTAGAGGGGGAAGCTTGGCAGCTACTAATGAACATCCACCTTATCCACAAAAACTTCTGATCCAGCAGATGGGGCACCTATCCACTGAACAAACAGTACAGTAATTTGGGGTTGTTTTGGGGGGGTACATTGTGTTCTAGTAAACCAACTAATGGAAGGCTACTCCAAAATTGCACCACATTTCCTGCAGATCTGTGGTGTGAGGGAACTGGGGTTTGATCTTAAGACCGTACACAATAGAAGGGGATTAACTTTCAAATGTACCTGGCTTTTGATGAGAGGTTTTTTCCCCACTCAAACTCCAGATTTAGGCTGATGATAGCATCTTATTGTATCAACAAAGTTTTCACTCAGGAACTAGCACTGTCATGATCCCCTGGACTTCTTCTTTAAGCTTTTATTTTGATGCATTTCCACCTTCATACCTCGTCCCAGTCTCTGCAGCAGCTTCCCCTGCTCCAGCCAGTTCCAACTGCTTCCAGCTGGTTCTCCTCAGTCTCCTCATCCAGCCAGCTCAAAAACCAGTCATCTGCACTCACTGTTTGCTAGTTTGTTTTTGGTACACTGACAAAAATGCTTTTGGTGCTGTGCACAGTACAACTTTTCTTAGGTTGTACAGTACACAAAGGGTGGTCTTGTTTACTCTTTAATTATCACAGTACTCAACTATGTAAAAATACATGATGGTCATAGAACAGAAATTTCTCATGTGAAATAATCAAAACTCTCAAAGATTGGCAGAGAATTATACATTCATATAGGACCAAATCATAAGAAAAATTATATTCAGGACCTTTAATTCATGTCTCATCAGTGCTATCTGTCACACATTGTAGGTTAATGATCTAATCTAAACATAGCTCAGCCTTAATGGTGATAATACATACACCACAGATTTTTAAATGAGGAAAGTTTCAGTAACTGCAGTAATTAAACACCATTAGCCACCTAACAACACTGCTGACTAAAATTTCAGTTTATGCAAATATATTCCATTCCTTAGAAAAAAGTAAGTAGCTCCTCTTCTGGTCCTTCAGTGAGTTATAACCACACAAGACATGACCCACAAGCAACATGTATACGCATCAGTAGTGTAAGCACAGTGTTCGACCTTTGCATAATGAGGACAGTATGTGTAGGTGGCCCTTTTCATGGCTGTCATCTCATGGTTAAGCTCTGTGCACACATACACACTCGTGTGCGTGCTTTTAACAGTTAAACAAAACCTGCCACACTCCTTTAGCCAGTGAGTCATATGCAGGGATTCCAGCACTGGGAGATCTTTTAGTATGCTAGTGGCTGAAAATGAGAAGGGAAAGGAGATGAAGATAAGGGATGAGTGGAAAGGGAAAGGATATTAACAAGCAAAAACAGGAGGAGGAGAAGGCTCATGAAAAGATGAGCACAACAGACAAGAGGAGAGAACCTCAAGAAGAGGGAGGTAAACAGAGCAAATGCCAGAGGGAGAGTGTTTATCTGGATTTCGCACATGGAAAATGGATGGGAGGCTGTGATTAGAAAAACAAATCTCTTCATTCAAAAAACATGAGCCTTACAGAGAAACACCCGGCCAGCAGAGAGCTGTGGAACCAAATTTGAATTGCCAGCTTTGACTGATGTATAAAGCTGTAAACTGTCACTTCTCTCTGCATATGTTGGTTGTAGAGTCCAGAAGATACTGAAATTAGTAACTTCCTGCCACAGGACTCACAAAAGCAAACACATTAATTTTGTATCTGAACATAATCACATTGATCCTTATTCTTTACTTTCCAGCCAATTTAATGAATATAATTTAGAAATTCTCCACTGCATAAAAATAAAGTATCATTGAATACCAAAATAAAAAAATGAAAAAAAAAAATAAATCAGTGTAGAGCAAACACAACAGTCAAGACAATTTAGTATCTCCAAGGGCATCAAGATGGCTTCTGTGCGGTGACATTATCTAGGGAGGCTTTAGATCTCTCAGATATCCGTTCACACCAGCTGGTCCTCATATTGCTTACGGAAACAGTCTCCCACAGGAAAGAACTCCCAGCAACGTTCCTGGTACATTTTCCACACGTAGGATTCCTGGCAAATCAGTAGTAATCAATATTTAAATATCTTTAAGTCATTAATGATGCCAAAGGTCTCCATTATCTGACTGTGAACTCATTAACGCTGTCCACAGGTAATACTTATTTAAATTTTAAGTTCTTTCAACATTTGTCTGGCTCGGTGGAGAAACATTTCCACATTCTACTGCAGTTGCTCCCTTTTAAATACCGTGCTAAAATAAATGTGCATAGCATAAAAATATTGTATTTTTTATTTTTAGCATTTCTGCAGCATCACATTTAATGTACATGCTGTTCCAGAGAGATAAGACCTAATAAGAGAGGATGTACAGTGTTATATCTATATTACACTGTGCAGCACTTATGTCCTCATCTATTTTGATGTACATTGGTTTAATAAACTTACACGTTAAGCATCAGACACAAGAAAGGAGGAAACTATGCAGTTCTTTAAAAACAATGAAAGTAAAAATGTTGGCACTGATCTAAAGTGGTCATCTTTGCCGCAAGTGATAGGGTCATGTAAATATGTTATAATGAAAATATACAGCAGACAAGTGAATTAAAATACCTGCCAAATTTACCACCACAGTGGTTTATGAATAAAAACTAAAAATGTAATTATAAGGGGTATGCCTGGCAAGCATTATCATAAAATGCATGTGCCAGGACTGATTTGGCTTTTCAAGGACAATGTGAATGCAGATGCTGCCTTAGTTGAAAAGGTTACACTACAGCTTTTTCAGTATTATGGTAAAATTATTAGCTCATTGTTGTGGAAGGATACATTAAGGAAGGTGAGATTTGGTGATGACAGCAGAATTGTTTAAGTGCTTTAAAAGTGCACACCTAGTTCTGACCTTGAATGGAACATGCAATAAAAGAAAAGAGATAACTATTATACCTGACCCGTATGTTCCGTTTCATCCTTGTTAATAAGGTACATGAGAAAAAATCTGTAAGAAGACAGAAGAGGGATTCATGTAGCAACTGACATACCATCCACACACACTTATGTAGAGGTGCTCTGGTATAGTAGCATTAAATTAAGAGCCAAGTGGTAATACTGTGAGAGATAACGGCTGTGTTTTGACTGATATGACAATCATGTTATTTTAATGCTCATACTACAATACATGATAACTGACAAGAAAACTACTGGAAATCATTGTTTTGTATGATTGATTCTTTTTTCATTTTTCAAAATATATTGTACTGTAAGATTTCTGATGACTAGTGTAAATAATTTTTGATGTATAATGCATAAATGTCATGGGCTTAGAGCTTTATGCGAGACAGAATCTGACAAAAACCCAGAGATCTGTGTGCTCAGTTGCACTCTTCCTTTAGGTATTGAAACAGGGAAGTTTACTGGCTTACCAGAAGATAAAACATTGTTTGTTGAGACTGAAAATGAGACATTTTATTGTCCACTGTTTCATGACTTGAGGGACACAATTTTCTGTAAAATGTCTTCAATATCTGATTCATTTTCTTTTTATTTTTGGTGGATTACTATAAGAAATCCGAGTTGTTTTAGAAAGGGAACATTTTATGTGGCTGAGTTCTTCTGTAGAGCAGGGGCAAAAATGACAAAGCTTCTTGTATGTTTTGCAATGTAAAGATCTTATTATGGCAAAGTTTGTTTTCAGTATTAGTGGTGTCTTGTAAGTCTGTGTGGTCTGGGCACTTTGGTGCATGACAAAAAAATAGAACTAACTGGTCATTTGCTTTATTAAATAATAAATTATGATATATGTCAGTGTGTAGACCCTGTCACAAGAAGTACCAGCATACACAGACACTCACTCCAACAGGGGCTGCACACACATTAACAGTGCACAATGCAACAACACCTTCCAAATAACCCTTTTAACTATCATGGAGAAAAAAAGTGTTACCTCAGTGTATAACTGTGCAATGACACACATAAAAGCTGTTTGTGTGGATTACAAATTCTGACTGTATTAAAGTTTGATTATATTGGTTAATTGGGTTAAACAGTGGATGACTGAAAAACGATGTCTGATTAACTAGTAATACTGATGGAGCTGACATTGTGGTTTTCATCACTCTTTTTGTTCTTTCTGAAGAGTTAGTGATGGTGGAGTATGCACAATATTTATGCATTACTTTATCTGTGAAAGGTAAAATAATAAATGCCAACTTTTTTGTAACAACATTTTCGGTAGTGAGTTTTACTGTTTGTAAAGTTAGGTTATTAGTTATTAGTCTGAGACAATGGCAACCCCAGGCATGAGCGTAACGAGCATGAATCAACTCACAAATAGTTGGCCAAGTTGTGCTCCTGTAGCGTGTGGGTCTCAAAGCCATGAGGGACTGTATCAAAGTATTCACTTCCTATTCCACATATAAAACATTTGGTCTGCAGGAGAAGAGATTATAAAACATGTTCATGAAACAAGCTTAGACAAATAAGATGTTCTCCAGAGATTATTAAGAAAGAAAAAAGATTTTAAAAATCCCATCCTCAAGACCAGAAGCATTTTGTTTTAGTGCTCTGAGAGCAACACTACGTATTTGGTCCAAAATATGGCATCTTTCAAGTTGTTACTTTATACAAAGACACTCAACAAACACCCAAAAAAAAGGCAAAAAACTGTAAATCACAGCAACATTATGCTTGCAGGATTCTTTGCTGCCAAGTTTTCATAAGGCCAGAGGGACACATTTGCTCAGGGTCTGAAACAATTTGGGGGTACTAAACAGTGAAATTACCTTTTGCCATATTTTTTTTGCTGGTACAATGAAAAGAAGCAACACTAAAATATTAGTTTTCATCCAAATGCAAAATGCATTTTAGGGCACTCGTATTTAGGGGTAGAAGTTATGGGAGGATGAAAGTAGCAGCCGAACCTTATTAAGCACTGCAACTGCAGCAGGGCAAATTTAACATCAAGAAAAAGCAGGTGTACAATTTGTGGTGCCGTTTTATTTTTTTGACACATAGCGATAAGGAAATCATTTCACAGCCCGTTTGCTTCTGTTCTCTTTAACCTACGCAATCTGTAATACAGAGAGGTGCCAAACTAAGAGAAAAACCTGAATAAATGAGTGGCCTCTTCCTGGATGACAGCGGCCCCGTCCATAGGGCATGAGGGATCACTGTATGGTTTGATGAGTATGACAATGATATGAAATCATATGCTGTGGTCTTCACAGACACCAGCTCTCAACCCAGTTGGGAGATTTGGGACTGATGTATTAGAAAGTGGTCTCCACCACAGTGATCACAAAACCATGAGGGTGTATCTTTGGGAAGATTGGTGTTCATTCCTCCAGTAGAGTTTTTACTAAGACACTTCATATACTACTGCATCTAGTCTTGCAAATAAACTTGCATATACCAGCACTAAGCAACAGACCCTTTAAGTCCTCCAAGCTGCAAGATGGAGCTGCCATAGATCTGACTTATTCCAGCACAAAATCCCACCCCTGACTTGTGGTTTGTGCCTTCTCAGACTGCTGTGGGTAGGTACCCCCAAGTCTATTAGACTGTTTTTCTCAGACTGAACTTTCTGTAATTATTACCCACTCACTCGCTAAGAAAAAGAGGTAATGGTATCCTCTCCTTAAGGCCAATGGTACAATCATTTCCTGTGATACAAGCTCCCACAACAACTGAATCTAATTTACACTGTGCACACACAGTCATCTCATCACACAGAATTACAAGTGATTGCAAGCTAACTTAGCTACTGATCTCAAGTGAACCTGGTGCTAAATCAGTATACTTACATTAGCCTAGATATGCAATAGAAAAATTACCCCGTGTTTTTTATAGTATGACACATACGAGGATCAGATTACAGGAGGATTGTTACAGGATATGTATCTTTTGTCGACACAGCACAACGACCTTGATACCACATTTTACTCGAATTGTTGGGATGGTGTATGTAAGCAGTGTGCTCATCTTTGTTCAAACGTGTGTGCATAAAGGGGGATCTTTGTTTCTGAGGCAAAGTATAAAATCTCACCTCCATATCCTTTTTCACCTGCTCCTGTTGGTCACGAAGCTCCCCAAAGGCATCAATTATCAAGCCTGAAAAAGGGACACGATTGTTTGTGACTGAACCTGTTTGAGCAGAGGTATGCATGTGCATGGCTGTGTTTGTGTGTGAATAACAGGTGGCTGTAAAATAAAAACTCAGTGGGATGAGCAGATATTTTGTTTTTCCAAGTCTACATGAAAAATATATCAGTTGTATTCAAATCAAACTTGGTAAAAAAAAATGTAACTGTCTTTGTAAAAGTATGATATACAGTATGCATGTTAATGCACATGTGTAATTTCGTAAGGTGACTGGTACTCACCCTGGATGATAGCCAGAAGGATGACAATCACAAAGAAGAAAAACGTGATGTCGAAGATGATGCGCTCAACCTCAAACTCATCTCCAGCAGGGTCCACAATCTCATCGCCAATGCCCCCACCGGCACGCACCCCGACATACATGTGGAACATGTAGCACTGAAAGAAAATACAATTTCATTTATTGTGCAGTAGTCATTCCAGCAGAGGCTGAGGACACAAAACAATTCATGCAGACAGGCATTTTCTCTGGCTGTTGTCGACAATGATCTGAGAAGGACTAGAGCATTTTCTCCAAACTCCAAAAACAAAATGACATGTTGAAAATTCAAGCTGCAAAACAAAAAAAGAATTTGTTCAATCCGCTGTAATACTTGTTTTCAAGTTGGCAGCTTTTGGGGGGTATTTAAAAGTTTCAAACAGGCAGCATTTGTAAACAATTTCACAGAATAGTAGGCTCATACAGGATTTCCCCAAAAAGAGTTTTAGTTTTTAGTGAAACATTAACAAGTTTTCTAGCAAAGTCTGCAGCCTACTTTGCTTTTAAGGATATTTTCCAAATAAATAAATAAACAACTGTTGCCATTTTGCATTGTACTCTTCTATAAATAAAAACTGTAATGATGGGAAAGGGATCGCAAATTACTGTTGCTTAAGTGCTGCTAAACGTCGAGTATAAACAACAACACATTGAGTGTGACTCAGGATTTAATGTAATGTCCCGTCTCCTTTAATAATAGGGTTTGATTCAAAGGTTATCACTGCCCATTCAACTGTTTATGTGAGTGAGAGTGGAGCCCACATTACAATAGAGCAGGCGGTGGAGTGTTAATGTTATGGACGGCCAAACAAAGAGCTATGCAGAGGCTTGAGGGGCTGTTTATCAATGTGTCCATCATTTTATGGAAACGTAATGGAGGAACAAAAACAGGAAGCTGTTCCCCCTTCAACAATGGGGATCATTGTCAGAATCCTCCTCTCCCCCTCAGAAAATGAGGCACATGGCTACGTTTGTGTTGGAAAGATAAACAGATAGAGGTTGATAAATATCTGTGAAGAGACACCTTACTCTGTGTATGTCAATATTAACATTTAACTCACAGTTAGCATATCATTGCACTTCATGTCTTGGGTGTCCTTGCTGTCACTCTTGTTGTAAAACTTCCTGAAGAAGTTAAAAGCCACGACAGTGTAGAGATACACCACAACCGCCAACAGGCCCACAGTCAGGACCAACTGACAGACACACACATAATTACAGAAGGATAGAGAGAGGCAGATGGGCTTTAATAGTCTTTGTCATCTTAGAAAAGCTGCAATATAACCCTACAGTATGAAAGCAAATATCACATGCGAACTGCATAAACACACACTGAGACAGATGGACAGAGAATTAAAGCCAGACCAACACACGTAGACACACACCTGTTTCCCATTGTGTGTAACAGAGGAAAGGATGGTACGAAGTGTCTTAAAGCCCATGGCGATGTCCAAAAGATGGGCCGCAAAGAAGAAGTTGTTATAATGACCTACAACTGACATGGTCATGTACCAGGCCAAGTACAAGAAGGACTGTGAGCACACACACACACACACACACACACACACACACACACACAAAGGACAGATGGGGAGACAAATGTGTATCTTCGATAAGGCAGAATCACAGGATATTACCAATGTCACTCCTGCAGCTGTGTAATTGCAACAAACAAAATCTTAGAGCAGAAGAACAAGAGACTAAACTAATTAAGAACAAGTCATAAAATATCAGATATGTTCTACACACACAGCTTGATCAAATTATCTCATCTGTTCACATATACTGCAGGAAGTGACACCTTTATCTTGGCACAAACAAGTCAGGAAAAAGCCACAGCACATTAGGCACAACTGAACTTACACTGTCAGTGAACACAACTCCGAGTTTCCACAGTTGGTACTTCAGGTCAATGGAGTTACATGTAAATCTGAAATAAATCATGCAGACAGATGGCATGAACCAAAGTGTCCGTGGTTAAAGTCAGGCCCTTGCTGCTATAGTGTGTTTTCTAAAACAGCCTGTCCCTTATGTGGCTTCATCTCAGAATGTCCTGTTCTTCCTCAAGTACAACATAATGTTCAAGGACCTTCTTTTTTGTGGCCCTCCCTGTTAAGTAACACACAAATTCTCAAACACATACACAATATTAGAAATATCATTAAAGCACATTAATAAACAAACATACATTTTTAAAAGGTGTTACCAATATCATCCAGATGAGATGTTGACAGAAAAGTAAATAAGCCAGCGGTGTTAACTGATAATCAGGGGAGCGTGTCGCATTCATCTCTACAGTAAAATGCTTTTCTTATTTATCTTTTCTGTGGTGTCATGCCTCAGTGTATGAAAAACAAACAAGAAAAACAGTTCAAATGCTATCCTATTTAATAATGCACAATTTTTTTTGACTAAAACTGCATACAGTGCAAAATGAATGACAAACTATGCAGTTCCCTGCATATGCTTATATGAATTAAAAAAAAAACGCAAAGGCTTTTTTAAATGTTATACTTCACTCACAGAGCACTCCAGGCAGTGTCTCTATTGAGCTTCTTCCTCTTCTTTCTGTCAGAGCTGAAGTCTAAGGCTGCTGGGTCCAGACCAAGGAGTTCACTAATCTTCACAAAGCCATAAAACTCACTGTACTTATCTATCACCTGACAAAACAAGACGGGTTTACTGTAAAAACAAGTATTCCATCCATATCATTTGAGCTGAAAAATGACAGGAGACAGCAGGACACAGGTAGCTCAATTATTCTGCGCAGTTTGTGTAATAAAGAAATGGCATGTTAATTCTACTGACAAGATGATGGTTCTGTTTATTACTGAACAAACACACAAGGATTTTTTGAGACCTTTGTTGTAGATAGATGGCTTCTGGGGGTACAGTGGTTATGTGCCCTGTATTTGCTTGGTGGATGTGTTAATGAGTGACGGCAACTGTGACTGGTGTTTTTACTGACAGAAATCTTACAGTAGGTCAATACAGTAAATCGGTTTACCCTTCTATGAAAATGTGTGTATATTCTATAGTAAACCTTGGCTACTACGGTACATATTTACTTAATCACATGACTGATGCAGGGTTTCTCCTTATTGTGCTGCTGCTATGGCATCAAGAAACTTTGTCACTTGATATATTGCAAGAGATGCTCAAATTCTAGTCTTACTTTTGAGTCCATGTTTGCAATTACACACATAAGCACTTCAGTATAAGCAATATCTGCATCCTCCAAATTCAAAAGTGGATTACCAAAAGCAGTTCAAGGCATTATACCCTCTATTTTACTACAGGCCCTTAAACTGATGCGCTGCAGACTACAGTATAAAATGTACCAAGGTAGTGATAAACCTAGGTTATATAGACCAAGTGGCCATCCCAGAAGGAAAAAGCTGAACCCTATGTAGAGAAGTCTTAAAGTGCCACTAATGGCCCTAAGCTCCAATATCAAGCTATTGTCCTTTGAAGAGGGGACACAGTGAAGAAATTCTGCTCTGGCACCTTCATATATGATTAGCAGAGAAGGAATGTTCTTCTATGAAGATATTTGAAGATTTGGGGATTTTGGTAACTGGTTCTCCTGACTTAATGGATCTGCAAACTACTAAAACTAGGTATAGTACTCTAGTTTGATCTAACAGATATACAGTTTTCTTTTCCTGTAATATATTATTTACACTTTTTCTTAAGTTTAGTTGACAGTTCTCAAAATTGTCTAAAATTTTCACAAAAATGAAAAAAGGGGTTTCTTAGAACAATGAATAATTTTATCTCCCTTCATGACACGAGAGGCAGTCGGAATGAGGAAGCTGAAAGTGTTGCGAAGTCGTTGTGTTAACCGACAGGGGAATAATTACACCAGCCATTAAACGGTCCATTAAATTTCAGTTAGCTCCTTAATGCAGTGTCTCAGGGAGAAATATGCACATGATCACATATACAGTACACTACACATAAGCATGTTTAGAATAGGATGTATAATATTTCCTGTATAAAATAAAAGCCACAGTTTTCTGAAAATCTTACCTTTCTTTTCACAAATTTATCCCAGTAATTACTTGGAAATGACCTGAAAATATAAAGAAATGGCATCAAAACATTGCTAAAGGAAAAAAGTGATTAAAATGTACCGACAATTGAAACTTTTCTGAACTGTACAAAATGGTGCCAACATCAAGCTTCTAAAATTTTAAGTACAAAAAATTATTATTTGATGCTAATATGACATCAGTCCAGATGATCATGTTGCTATGAACATACGGTGTGTTAATGACCAGTCGGTCCCATTGCCCTTTGATGTCCTCCTCGGGGGGCTGCTCTGTCACATAGAGTCCATCAAACTCCAGCCTTCGTGCCACTTCCTTCTCACGTTTGAAGATCACCAGTGGTACCTGCCAATCAACAGCACTGGTGTAATTACAGGTCTATAAGATAGGGAGAAGTGATCTGAAAAAAATTATACAAGCTTATTATAAATGTGCAACAGTACATGCGCGCAAACCTTGAGGCAGCAGTAACCAATAATACAACAAAAGGAGATGATTGTGTGTGCTACAGCCAGGAAGTGGAGAGATGGCTCCATGTATCCACTGCTCTCCTGTAGCACAAAATAATCTCTGCCCTCGTTGTAGTCTTCAGCAGCAGAGTCCAGTCCTTCACTGTAAACAGATGCAATCACTCCTTCCTCTCCTTGTGATGGAGGCAATGATGCTACCTGGGAAGACGGTAAGAGATCAAAAGAAAGATCAATTTCACTGAAGACAAAACTTACTTCTTGGCAAAATATTGTAAATACCAAATAACAAACAACCCCCCCAGAGTTAGATCAGCTCTTCTCTGACATATTCACTGGTGTTCTTATCTAGGAATGCATTTAATTTGTTAAAGAATTATTTGTGAATTTGTGAAGCTTTTCAACCTTTTTAAATAAAGTGCCCCTGGTCCTTTCATTGGTTTGTGCGTGGGCAGAATGAGATCAGCAGGTTATTTTGAAAGGCTACTGTAAATAACTGAAACATTACAAATTGGATGCTTTCAAAGTAGTACTCAGATGTGTTACTTACTGCAAGCTAAAGTAGAGTTATACAGTAGCCATACTACATTGGAAAAATACTCTATTACAACTAAAAATCCTGCATTCATAATTTTATTTACACCATAAAAATATAAAGAGGTACTTGCCCCTGTGAGACCGTATTATCCGTGCATTTTATTATTATTATTATTATTATTGATGCATTCTTGTGTGTAATATGTAATATTTTACTCTGGGTTGGGTCCAGGTGCTGCTAATTTTAACTACTGTTGCACAGTTTTTCACATTTTAATTGTCAAATTAAGGTACTAGAAGCAACAAATGTGACTGTAGCAAAGTAAAAAAGACAGTATTTTCCTTTGAAATATAGTGGAGCAATGTGAAAAATGGCAATGTCAAAATGGGAATATTCCTATATTCAGTTACATTAATTACTTTGCAATTTTGATATGATTTCTCTCATAAGTAAATTCTCACCTTGTAGAAGAGAAGGATAAAGTTGATTGCAAAGGCAACAATCAGACCCAGCAAACGCATATTATAAAAATTCCTTGCAAAGTAGTTCTGAAAAAGACAAAAACATATATGTTTTCTGCGTGTATATGTTTGTGCCTGAAAATGCAAATGGAAGTGGATACAAGTATGCATTCTTATTTGTGTTGGTATGAATAAGTTCATGACCACGTGCGAGTGTGTTTGTATATTACCAGCAGGCTCTTGCTATGAGTGCTTATCATCTCCCAGAGGGCAGAATGTTGGCTCTCTGGTATCTCTGACTTATTAGAGCATCTCTTGGCTCTTCTTCTGCTTTCTCATTCTCAGTTTTCTTCTCAGATTCCTTCACTCTGCAAACATTTGAACCAGAGACGGAGAAATGGTCAAAAAGCTTCATTTTGACAGGGGAACATCTGAGATGATGAAATCAGACTAACTTATCAAGATTTCAGCTTGTTTTTTGGTTAAGTACTGTAAGTCTGACATTAATGCTGCTTTGATTAAAAGGTCTAGTCCACAATTCTAATTCATTACACATTTTGTCAAATTTAGCAAAGTCTGAAAAACATAGTTGCAGCTGTCCATCAATGTAGCACGCTCCAGAATTTGAAAGTCATTAGGATGGAACTGTTAGGGACAGTAGGATGTTGGTCAGTTATGTAATCATTGTGGTACTTCAGCAAATTACAGCTGGTTCACTAGCAAACACATACCTGTGTCACATTATCCTGTTTGCTAAATGACTTTTCCAAAGACATTTAGCAAACTTGCTATCTAATTGGCTTTTGTTGTGACATTAGCTATGCAGCTGGGGTCTGTGTTTGGCCACATTTTGTGCCCCAGGCTTCATATCCTTACTGTGGTAATGCTTGTTCATTAACTCAGGGGGGCATGGTTACATAACCATAACTGAAGGGAGTGGTGGATTTCTTTAGGTGCTGATGTACATAGACAGTAATTTCACAGGACATTCTTTTTATTGGTTTCAGATCCACTATGCATCATCACTACTATTACACTAAACTACCGCAGTGATTTTTCTACTTTAATTGGCTCAGCATTGAGAATGTACTGAACATTGTAATGAGAAAGTTAAATATCCACTCTTTGAAAATTTAATGGGGAAGCAAGAGACTCACTTTGTGTTGTGTAATTCAGTTATTCTCTGGTCTTTTGCCTTTTCCTCTGTGGCAGTCTGCTGTTGGTAAAATCCAGGAAATAAAAATGAATATGAATCAGTACAGTATGAAGGCAACGCAATTAAGAAAATTAGGCTGAAATAAACCCTGAAAAACAACACTAAGTATAAAAAACAAAACATAATGGATGCAATTTTACTGTAAAGATGCAAATGAATACATACTGCAGAATCAGTGGTGGCAGTTGTTCTGGAGGTTGTGTTGAACAGGTCAGTCAGACTGGCAGAGAGGTCTTTAGTTACAAGTCTGTATTGACCTCCCTCCTTCTTTACTTTGAGCCCAAATATGTCTGACAGTAGATCCACCTCCCTGGGGGAGGTCACAGCTGCCACCTGCCCAATCTTCCTCAATTCATTCTGAGAAGAGCAACTAGCAGAGTACTTCTTTGACCAATCCACACCACTTGGCACCTCCATGACCTCATCAAGAGTTGGTTCAAGGATACCACCAAGCATGTCCGAAATCCTCATCCGTTTGGCTCTCTCTATGAGCCCCCCACTAATAAAAGTTATGTACAGCACATACATGGTGCTGTGAATTACAACACAAATGCACCGGACCTGAGCCATAAAAATTAATTTGAGGAAGAAAATGGCTGACATGAGAATGTCCTTCAGAGTCATCTTCATTAGTGTCTTCAGGTTTTTCACAGAAAGCAGAGATGTCAGCAACAGAAACCACTGATACATGAAAAACATTCCTTTGTTGTCCAGGCCTTCTTCTTCACCATTACTCTTTTCCTCTTCTTCTTTTCCAACACACTTCTCTCCACTGTCAGAGCCAGATATTTTTGCTGCAAGCTGCATCTCAAAAATGGTGTCTTCACAAAAATTGACAAACATCTCCATTTTCTCCTTCTCTCCACCCTCATTGACCACATCAAAAAAGAACTGTCTCTTGGACTCTTTGACCTGTGGCTTCTCCCATTGTGTGCGGCTAGATTCACTGATCTCAAAGTAGACGCGTTCGATGCGTTTCCCACTACCAAGGATTTCAATGCGTCCTAGACAGGGCTGGAAGTAAGTCAAGACACACTCTGCCAGTTCCAAGAATGTCCTTAGTCTGGTATCACTGGGCATGTGTTCGGACAAATTGGTGAGAAGAACGGCTATGCTGAAGCCAATATTTTTGGCCGGCTCATGGAAGCGATCTACAAAAGCCTCATAATCCACAATTTCACTGTGGTCAGTCTCTGAGCACAGAAGAAGAAAATCAGTCTCAGCCTGGGAGAAACGCTTGCAATTTTCCATGGCTTTCTGGAAGTCCTTCCTGGATATGCTGCCCTTACGATCAGAGTCATACTCTCTGAAAGCATCTGAGGAGGTGAGGTCTTTCAGTTTGAGGAACATGTCAAAAAACTTGAGGATCATCTCCACATTACCTGATGATTCCACCAACATATCCACCATCTGCTTTCCAATAGTTCCATTGACAACATTACCTGCAAGAAAGAAAGATGTGCAGAAAAATACAATGATAACTTGTAACACATTTGCAGTCATACATTGCCAAAAGCAGGATAGGTGGAAATCTTACCTTCTAACATGGAAAGCAAAAACACAACCATGTCCTTCTGTAAATCCATCAGCTCTTTCAGAAGCTCAATCTGCCTTGAATCCTGCATATAAGAAAATATTTTGTGACATTGTCAGATCTTACATTTATGCAGGAAACAATAGAAGAGGCATGTTATAACAGTCAGCAGTTAATGTTTTGGATTAAAATGAGGAAGCTGGAATGGAGATACCACAGTAGACTAGCACCCAAAACAACAATTTTATGTTTGACAAATTTCAGAAGGAAAAAACGAATTAATTAAATGTCAGTGAATTAATGTGCTATACCTGAGAGAGCTTCATCTGCATGTGGGCAAAGACATGGAGGAATCCAACTACAGCATCCCACAGACGACTGTGAGCTAGACTCTGCTGGTTCCCAGTACACGGGCCCTAGATGAACACACTGATAATGTGAGCTGCTTCCTTACAAAACTGTATAAACTCATAGAAAGAGAAGGACATGAAACATACTATAGCATGAAATGGAAACTGACTGACCTGTATGTACTCAGTGAGTGTGTTGAAGACCTGTTTGGCCACTTTGATGGCCTTGGAGAAGTTGCATTGACCATGTATGTCAATCACATCCTTCCCTGAGTAGTACCAGTAGAAGTCACTGATTGATTCCTGTAGTGCAACAGAAAACGTTTGTGTGGTCCTTTAACTTAAATAAACCATTCTTTTAAAGATAAAATATATCTGAATTTAAAATCAGAGGATCTTTGATCTTGCAACTGATGAACCTGCATTCACACTTTACCCAAGTAAAGCTCTGCACTGATTAAACTATATAAACCATGTCTAGTTAGTCAAACATCACAGCAGAAAGCCTGTCACTGTCGCCTTACCTGTACTCTTAGTAAATAGTCCACAGTAGAAATAATGATGTTGACAGTGGTGTTGTTGCCTGTTTGTGTTCTCAAGTAATTCTGAAAATCTAACACAAACAAATTATGAGCATGTTGGGCAGAATGTGACAGGAGCATTGTATTGTATTTAATAATTGCAATGTCCTGTGTGGACAATACAACTGAACAACGGTCTTCAAATAGAGCAAAGCAAAAATGTGTTGCACAGTATTAATGGACCTGTGCAGCAGGAAGCTCTTCATTCCACAATAAATGGGATATTCAGGTGAAACAACCTATTTGTTTAGAAAATCAGTTTTCTTTTTTCCCTGTTTTATTTAAGCATGTGTTACAATAGATAGACTTTTAGTGTTTTTAGACATCACTATACCTGAACTGTGTGGATAGTGCAAAGAGGAACTAACCTGAGTTGTGTCCTTCACAGAGTAGCTGCAGAAAACGAAACAGGTCACAAGTTAGGTCTTTGTCAGGCATCACCATCTCTCCTGGGAAAAAGATAGGTGAAAAGGGCAAGAAATAAAAGAATCAAGTGAAAGAAATGGAGTAATACTGTAGGAAATTTATGACAGAATGAATGAAAAATGTAGGATGAGAAGAGAGAAATCAAGTCACAGTGGAGTGAGGGCCATAGCTGCTGATAATCAAGATTGATAAAGGCAGAGAAAAAGAATTTGGAGTGCGAGTTTGTTCAGGGCCAGACAGCCGGCTCTTCTGCTATGACATGGCTTCAGAGAAATAGAATTTTTTTTATTTCTATATGAATAAAGTACCTGAGCTGTCCTCCATGGCCATGCCTAATCCTTCTGCTTTGTTCTGCCTCTCAAACGCATTCAGATCCAGAACACTGAATAGCAGAAAATAAAACACAGACAGATAGGCAAAGCTCCTGCACTCTTTATCATTTTTAGCAATCAGTATATGAAGTGTACCAGCCTTTGTGAGATCTTATAGAATTTGTCACAGGATTTTTCTACACTCACTCACCTGCACGACCGCATGAGTCCAGCCATGCTCTGAAAGAATCCAACATTTCTCTTCTCTCTCAAATAATCCAGCATTTTCTATCAGACCAAAGCAAAGATAAGATCTGATAAACTTGCACAGTCTAAGGAGTATAACATGTTTACATTTTACTGCAAATTGTATACTCTGTATAAATGTGATGACTAAAAAAAAATCTCAACTCTTAGAAGAGGACGTCATGTGAAGTGGATATGGTTAGCTTAAAATAAATGTTAAAACTCTGCTGCAGTGCCTCTGTCAAGGCACTGTATTCAGAAGGACAAGGAATTTGAAAGTGGTACATTATGAATAGCAAAAAAACTCCACAGGCTGAAGGGCCCTTGATAAAAAAAATATATTGTAGGAGGAATAGCCAAGGTCCCCTACTTAAGTAAAGACCTGATGACATTTCTGCTAACGTTTGTTATGCAGCTGCTACGACAGCGGCCCACATCTTCCACAGTCCACAACAGTTTACTGTTTTACAGCTTTACACTTCATGTTTTACAATTTCTGCTGTATTTATATTCATCAATATACTTTGTGCCTATGATATACTCTTCCAGCTGAATACAATTAGTCTAGCAGTCTCTGCTGCAATACCCGTGTTTCTTAGTGTCACCATATCTGATTTTCCTTTTGCTTTATCTTAACTGTGTTAATTATAACAATCTTTTCTTTCATGATATTAAAACCTCTAGTCCCCACCTAAAACTTATCAAAAAAACAAAAAGGCCAATATCAGAGACGATAAATACGCAAACTGATTTTGGGGCTCTCTGTATTTCTAGTTCTAAATACAAATGCAGTATTGTACCAAAAGTGGCATTTCCTCCATTGAGAACAGCAATACCCAGCTTCAGTGTAGGAGCAATCATGGAGCCCATGGCCCCTGAAAGGATGTGAAATTAACCACAATAAAAGTATATACACTACTGACTCAAAATAGCAATACTTTATGACTGCTATGGATTATGGCACATTAAAAGGTGAATCTACCCTAACATTCTTTCTCAGTTCTATCTCAGAAAACCTGAATTTTGACTAAATCACAGGGAAAACATTAATTTTAACATCTGCTATTGGATTTGAGAGTCAGCAAACAAAGTGTCTTGTTTAGAAATGACTCATATAAAGCAATAGCAACTTGCTAAAAAGAGAAACTAAGCAACAGACTTGTCTCTGATGAGTTACTAACTTCAGTTGTTAACCTTTCCTACCTTTGCTGGCGCTGATGATTTGCAGGACCATCTCAGAAGCTCCACGACAACGCAACCTGGCCTGCTGGTACAGCAACTTCTGCTTCTCCACCTCCTTTTCCTGAGCCACACAGAGGTCAGTTTTGCAAGCGTTTTTTAAACTGAATAAAATCTGCTAACTGAATACAACTAAAATGGCAATTATTAACCTAATGTATTTTTATCGCAATGGGAGAAAATTAGGAATATCATAATTAAACACTGTAAGCAAAAAAAAACAAAAACATTTTAAAAATAAGAGCCCATTCACTCACTTCGAAGCTTTTCACTTCTTGTTCTTCATCATCACCTTCCTCTCTGTGGCAACTCTGGGCGAGCGAATGTACACATTTGTAGGGTGGTAACAAAAAGAGGCAGAAAACAATAAATCAGTCCATACTGACCTATTTACTGCATTCGACACCAAGACATGAAAGCAAAACAAAAGAAAAAAAACTAAAATAAAAAGTAACCACATTATATGCTTTGTGTTTTTGCAGTGTTCTTTATCGTTGTTACTGTAGTGTAGGTGTTGGTAACTGGCTTTCAACTCAATATAAGCAAAGCTTGCAACAGCAGCTGCAAATTTATTATTTTTTTTATCTTATCACCCTTCCTGTACTGACCATTTCTGTGGCCCCTACAACCAGAACAAGCATTAAAACTAACATGCAGTACAGAAATCAAGTTATCACTAAAACACTGATTGACAATGAGTTCCCTTCTCTAACAAACCATTAGGAAAAGGTTCCATACTGTAGCTCTAAACAGAGTATGATTTGAACATAACACATTTTTGATACTACTAATTAGATCATTCTCCATGTTCCATTACCTTGGTCATAATAGCAGCATAGGACTTATAGAGACTGTCACTTCCAAATTTACTGTGAACAGGGAAAACAAATAAGATAATATTAGTGTACTTCAAACTACAAACAATGCAGTATTTTAAAAATGGCTGGTTAGTGACAAGGTTCATGCCAATCTGCAGTTACTCCTCAGTGGAGCTATTCAGTGCTTAAACATGACTGCACAGAGAAATGCAGCACTGCCTCAAAGTGTGGAACTAGAGTGTGACCATTGTACTCATGTCTGCTCAGTCGCACTCTTTTATTTATTTTTTTTTTACTAACCACACCAGAATACCTAGAATCTGGCTGGTTTGATCACAACTCTGCAGTGACTGCACTAGTGAGTGTGTCTGCCCACCCTTAATATTACACCTGAGTGGAATGGGTGGGCCAAATTGTGCATGATGATAAAAAGAGAACTACAGGAATACTACAAGTATATCTTATTCACAGGTTTGCTCAACAGGCAGTATTAGACTGGTGTTCATAATCAGTGGTGCCTATGCATAACCTACCTGGCAAAAATGTATAGAAAGCCACAGATGCTAGACTACTAAAAAACAACCCCAGTTCTGACCTATTTAATTGACTTTCCTGCCGATTGGGGTTTGATTACTAAATGCAGAATGCATGTGATCTTAGATAATGAACACGAACACACACACCTCCAGTCTGTCAGGGCACTTTGACTGAAAAGTGTGACGAGTTGTAGGAGGGGGTCGATTGGTTTGACACCTTCTTCCCCATCTTTTTCACTGCCTTTGTCACCTCCACAAAGCTCCATCACTCCTCCCTTCTGCCGTCCAGAGAGACAGTCAAGTCATCAATGTGCACTCTTAAATAATGTCACATGCTGGCCAGCAATGCACAACTCCTGGTGGAGGACTACAGTTTACACACTGCACACTCTTGTATATTAGAAAATTATTTTAAAATGTAGCTTTTCCACTAACAGCTAAATCCTCCATGAGCTTCTCCTCAAAGCTGTGGTTCTCTGCTGATATCCAGGATTTATTGTAGCATTGGAGGAACAGGTTGACAGCTCTGTGCCTGGGGAGCAAGAAGAAAGGGTGAAGACACGACAAGAGATTTGCATTTGTGCTATCTGTATTACACAAGTGTGAATACGAGACTGAAAAACGGGCGGCAAAGAAGGAAACCATTAAACTATAAAGAAGCTCTGATTAGACTCATCATTACTCATTCATCACAGATTCTTAGCCTTATCCAAAGTGATAATTGTTACATCCACCTGAGAGTCAAGAGGGCTAGAGTACAGCTATAAATCACAGCACACAAACACCAAAATAATACTCCTGTATCACCTACAAACCACACATAGCCACTGGTTTTTTATATGCAAATGGTTTGCTCACGTTGGACTGGACATGGCTGTGACTGATAGTCTAATTAGGTTTTACATTACCTCTCCATCACACTAGTGTCTCCTGCACAATGCAGAGCTGCCAATTATACATCTAAATAGGTTTGTAGCCATATTGGGCTACTATGCCAGATGATGCAGCATATTCGCCATTTCATGTTCTGAATAGTGCAAAACGTCTTCACTTGTTTTAAGCTTTAAAGTTTGATGGATAATTTCAATGGGTCTGAAAACAGTCTTTCTGTAGGGGCAAACCATTCATATACATTATTACTTTGTACTATACCTGGGTAAGTTGTAGAGAGGAGCCATCCTTAGGCAGGCCACCACTGCTCGTTTCCTCTGTTTTGATAAGACCTTGTACCACGCAGGCTTTTTACTTCTCTGTGGGTGTTCCACCTGAGCCAAAACCAAAGGTAGGTATCAAGGCAATGTATTTATTTAAACCTCCAATAACCAAAGGGCTGTCAACAGTAGCTGCTGTAGAGCCTCATCGCCATGCATTTGTACTACATTTATCTAATACTGTATAAGCACTGCAAGCATTACGAATGTAATATATTAGTGTTTCGAATAAGAACCTGCCTGTGGTTCTTATCCACGTACTGTAGCTCCCAGGCCATTTAATATCAAACAGCTGAAAAAGGGAGCAAATTGTAACTTGTACCAAAAGCTGTTACAAATTAATCACAAGTGAAGCACTTTAGTAGAGTAATGCAACATGCAGTCAAAGAGAAACTTCTATTACAGTGCATTTGTAAATATTTTTTGAAAAAGTTAAAAATCCATAAAAGCCATGCACGTCCAAATAATCATGATGGAGGAGCAGAAATTAAATGAAAAAGACTGTACAGCAACACCATCTATAACCAGGGAAGTATTTGATTTATTCAGCAAACACATTTCTCTGAAAGAGGGAGTTCTATGGTATAGATATAAACACATCCTTAATATAAACAATGCCAAGTATGTAAAGTGTATATATGACTAGAATATATAGATTTCTATATTATTCCCTCAAATCCTGTAACTTTTATTTTAAGACTAAGTGAATTACTAAGTGCGATGTTTGTGTATTGCGGTTTTAATGCTTTGTTGCCTTTTTTATTTTAAGACTAAGTGTCTTTTCTGGCTTTTGACTCCTTACCTGACTCCAAAGGAGAGCTGCACAAGAATTCCTATATGCCTAGACTGTTTATGCATACATGGCAAATAAAAATCTTGACTTGAAATCCTCATGCAAGCTTACAAAAAGCCTCTTTCAGTTTCCTAAAAAAATTTATATCCTCTCTCTGCCCCATACCAACAGGCCTTTTTTAGAGCAGACACAGCAGGAAAGGCACACAAAAAGACACTAATACAATCCATTCTGTCGTGACAGGGAGCCAGCATGCACAATATCAATTGAGCTATTAAACTGAACTAGCTACATGAAATTCAACCAAAATTAATTTATTAAACCTGTGCTTTTCACGCTGTGGCATGTCAAAATGTCTTCTGTATAAAAAGGCCTGGAAAATAGGGACACCTCACTGAATCTTAATTTTCTTCTTGTCATTCTAGAGCCTACAGTTGACTGCAGACAGTTGATATGCATTATGCAAATTTGAAAACACAAAAATATACAGTTGGCATGGTGGGGCGGTGGTTAGCGCTGTCGCCTTGCAGCAAGAAGGGTACGGGTTTGAGCCCCGGCGCCCTTCTGTGCGGAGTTTGCATGTTCTCCCTGTGCCTGTGTGGGCTCTCTCAGGGTACTTTGGCTTCCTCCCACAATCCAAAGACTTGCAGCATAGGTCAACTGATGACTCTAAATTGGCCATAGAAGTGAATGTGTGTCTCTGTGTGTCAGCCCTGTGATAGACTGGTGACCTTTCCAGGGTGTACCCTGCCTCTTGCCCAGTGTCAGCTGGGATTGGCTCCAGCCCCCCCACAACCCTCTTCAGGATAAGTGGTACAAGTAATGGATGGATGGAAGGAAAAATATAGAAATGTATTACTGATAATATTTTAATCACTTTAAACGCTCACCTGGTCCAGGTAATAAAGGACTCGAGCTAATCCCACTATCCTGTCTACAGTCCTTTGGGGGTCAGTGATGACCCCTAGTCGACTTGGGGGTTCAGCCTCCTGCTCCATACAGCTTGATGTCTAAGAAGAAATTTAAATTGGTACTTTTATTTTTGTTCCATGTTGCAAACATAAGAAGGTTTATAATGAGAAAAGAGAATTAGCAGTTCAAAGCCAGAACCTTTAACAGGGCAATACATATAAAAGAACAAATAAAGGAACTTGGTTTGTAATGGGGAGAATAATAAACATCATTAAGCAATCAAGCTATTGTCCTGATTATTGCTTTCTCCTTTTCCTTTAATTTCCTTCCTTGAATTCTCATATCACCAGTGACAAAGGCTCACTGCTGAATTTTTATATTTCCCATTTTCATTAATTTTCATCCAGCCAACAAGGGATGGCCCAAGGGCTGTGCAAAAATTACAATCACATTTCTATTTAAAAAGTTTGTTTATGCTAATAACAAAACAGAAGGTATTCTTTTTTTTCATTACAATTTTATGAATAAACATTTATCACTGACTAATGAATAAATGAATACTGCATGCCTATTATGTGCAGTATGGCGAGTATGTCACATTGATGTCTCTGGTGAGCAATGAGTCACTGACTTGAAAACATTAAAAAAAACAGATTTGGGTTTTATAGGCTACACAAAAGCACTCTTTAGTTTTCCCACACACTGGTTGCCTTCACAAATTAAAAGTCACATGTACTCAGGCATATCAATGAATATGCAGGATGTCAGCAGAATGCAGAAAAATATGGTCTTCATTTTTACTCCAAAAGTCTAAAATATGAATCATACAACCAATACATAGCTGCTTTTTCTTGTCATTTGCACATAGAAACACGAATATTTTTGTGCAAACCCAAAGAGATAAACCCCACAGAACATGTAAATTACAACTGATAAGGCCATTTAAATAAAATTAAATTTTTTAAAAACAAGGTGTGACAGCCATTACCTGACTCTGAAGATGTATAAGGTCGTGAAAAACATGGTCTCGAATCTCATCTTCAGTGTTTTTCTGTGAAAAGCAAATGATTGCCTCAGTAACACTGTTCACATCTTAAAAGGTTTAGTCATCATGGGGATGACATAATGCTCCATAGTGCTAATATTGTCGACATTCACAACCAACCTGAGCGAAGCCATTCTTAGCCAACATGATAAGGCTGTGGTCACTTGGAAAGCAAACCCTGAGTCCCACAGGAAGCAGTCTCTTCACAACAGCCACAATGAGAGACATGTGCATGGAATAACGCTCACCCTTCCTCGTCATCCTCCTCTTCTCATAATTGAACTTGAAAGTCATGAAGATAAATGAACTTTTTTGAGAATTGAATGACAGTTGCAAACATTTTAGCAAGTACTATACAACTACTGGTAGTGACAGATCAATAATAGATCAATTAATAAATATGACTGACCTTGGACATTTGGTCATAGTTGACTAAGAAAGCCAAGTTGTTGATTTCATTTTGGGCCACATAATTCTGTTCCTCCCATTTAAAGTTCTGTTGTAGCAAACAAGTGAACAAAATGCATGTTTTTAGGGTACAATATTTACTTGGATTATATTGGTATGTGAAGAAAAAATGTAAAAACACTTGTGTGTCACCCTCACATGAGATTTGGCCCAGAATATAAAGATCTCTGCCACCATGCTGAACAGCTGCTCAGCCTCAGGATTTGACTCTTTCAGCCAGATGGCTCTGAGAAAAGACAGACCAAAACATCACACTATCACCACAGAATTTATTCCTGTTAAGGTTGTAGTGGTAAAAGCAAACTTGATATAGTTAATACTTATTAGGCCAATGTTAGTTGAACTTTAAACTTTAAGTGTGGTCAGAATTCTCTGTTCTTCTGTGTTCTTCTCTCTCTGCATGATCATGGGGTCCAGTTTGCTGTTTTTCAGTAACAGGCTGATAGGGGTTTCCCAAAAATAGAGAAGTGATACCAGGGTGGGGGCCTGATGGAAGGCAAGACCTGGACACTTGGAGGAAGTTGGGAAATAGATAGCTTTTTAGGATGCTGCAAAGCTGAAGAGACAGACTTAGACTTGGAGAGCGCATGGGTGAATGTGAAGACTTGAGAAGACAGACAGAGACCCCAGAAACTCTGCAGAGAAATCCAGGTGGTTCTGTTTCTCTCCCTCTGAATCCATATTACAATATATTATTCAATAAATGATGATTGGCACTGCAGTGATTCTCCCTGTGAATTAATTCTATACACGACAAGGTAAATAATCATATGAAATAACTAAAATAACCGCTCAATGCCATGTCACTTTCTCATTTTGTATCTTCAAAAAATGTATTTACATTTTTTTTTTTTATATTTTTCACAATTTACCAGTATCTCAATTTTCAATATGGCTTTTCTCAGTGTTTCACCATTTTTTAGGGACTTGCACAGTTACAACTCAGTTTACCATAACCTTCACTTCCTGCCTTAACTCCAGCTGCTGACAGGATATGGCATAACCACACCACTTACCATTAAACCAACTAGAACAGAATTCTAGCACAGAGACACTGTGGCAGGTAACAGATAAAACCTTTGTAGCAGGACAAAGCAAAAGGGAACAACGTGTCATACACACCGCTGAGTCTGCTCACAAGCTAACTCACTAAGTGCATTTACCAATGACTTTATAATTGCACCATGTGTTGTTATGCTCACAGTAATGGCTGTACAGTTGCAGATGCTTTAGTGTATAATAAACCCTGTCATATTTTCATGATTGGTGATCATTGTAGTTTTTGCTCTGTTATCTGAAGCCAGCCTCTACCATCAAGGAACTCTGACTTTCACTGCATCACTATGCTAGTGGTGTTAAAAAAAATAACTAAATTTAAACACTAATCATTTGCTAGGTTTTCCATTTATTTATTAAAATTCTAACATTATGGTTAACTTTTTAAGACCAATAATTAAATGAGACTTGTTATGAGCTGAATACATCCTGGGAGCACTTACATTTTACTGAGGCTTAATTACAATACATACAATTTCAAAAACTATGGGAAATCTGGTGTTCAGCAGTTTCCTGATGGACAGATGGTAATTACTGGTGGAGTGATGCCAATATCAAGTACAGTAAAATAAGCTTCACTTCCAGTCTAATACTTTGTTACTCCCATAGGTTTTGGCCAAAAATAAGCTCATCTCAAGCTCCTCCTTAGCATTCCTTACCGATTAGAATCCACAAATGGGATGACAAGGGGATAGAAGGCATAGAGGTCTCGCACCAGCACCCTGAACTTCTCCTGTATCTGCAACTCTGCTTCAGAACCACAACACCCTTCTGCTTTCATCTGCTCCTCCTCCAGCAGCACACATTCTGCTCTCTTCCTTAACTTCTCCATCAGTGGCAGAAAGTGGCTCTTCAGCAGGTCCATGCAGGCACTACATATGATTGGTTGAGAAAAAACTGAAAGACATGGATGGAGAATAATGAAAAAAATAATGAAAAGCATAACTGATGTAGAATAAAGGCATCTGTCTATACCATAAGCACATTTTTGGAAATGACCACAATACCTGCCAAGTGTTTCATCCAGTCACCCTGGCTAGCACCCACATGGTTATGAATAATACGGAGGATGTGGCCAAGCAGTTCACTGGCATTCTGAGGAATGACCGAGGTGCAGACTGGGTTGGCTGGCTGGCCCTCAGGGCCCCAGTGCCACCAAAGGGACACGTAGCTGCACAGCATAGGCAAGGTGACCTCCATGACATGGATATAGTGGTCCTGGCGAAATCCAGCACCAACACCTGCCAACTCCTCCACTTCCTCCATAGCCTGTTCAAAAGAAGGCAGATGGGGACACATGTCCTCCACCTGATCCGGCAGTCCTAGATCTAATAGAAACCGATATGGAAAATAAGGCCAAGAAAACAGAGGGGTTAGGACCAGGGGTTAGATTTATTCATGGAGTCAAGACTGAGATAAATATCAGTGTATTATAGTGTGTTTATTTATTACCTTCTCTCACAGAAGAACTCATACTGTTGTAGATAGAATAAGGGTTGTTTTGGTTGAGTGCTGGTTCCAGGAAACATACAGGAAAAGCCCCAGTCAGGGCTGCGAGACAAGCACCTGCTGCTGACCGTTGCCTGAACAGAGATATTTGGTGAGGGCATAAGCATGGGACTGACTAATCATGACAATTTGCAGAAAAGCTTCAGGGTAGGATTACAATAGTAAATTTACCAATCACTTCTGCTCCTTTGTCCCTCACAAACTTTGTCCCTCAGACTGAATTAATTTTCACTATTCAATCTTTATATTCACCTTATTAAATACTGTATGTAAACCGCAATAATATAAAAATCATTAATACAAATCATATTTTCCATTGTTTCTAAAAACTGTATGTACAGACAAACCAATGATGTAATATCTAAGTAAACAGCAGAAGATTAAAGCACTGACATTTTTGCTATCTCTAAAAACTCAGATATCATAAAGCAATATAGGAAATACCCCTCCATGTAGATGCTTCTATTGGTGCCAAGAGAATAGAGGCTGTTGAGGATCCTGTAACAGTACACCTGGATACTTCCCACTGAAAATACAAGGCATCTTTGAATTTTTTCAGACAGAGCAAAAAAAAAAAAAAAACAGGAGAAAGAATGATGACATGCAATCACAGAGAGATGGGCTAAGGTAATGAGTAATTCCTCGAAGACCAGGATATTATTAAAGGAGGCAACATGCTCCTGCTGCTCTGTGGCCATGACTAAGACAGTTAATGAGGGCTGATGTCAAAGATGTGGAAGTTGAGAGGACGGCAGCCATGAGTGATTTCATGGTTGTGGAAACCAGCTGTTCATCCAGCTCCTTAGTATACAGAGGGAAACTAATGTGATAACTGAAAAAAAATACATGAGGTGGTAATTGTATATTAATTATTGTGAAATGATACAATGAGTTACATTTGTAATAGTGTATTTTAGGGTGCAAACACATTTTTCTTTCTTTTTTCAGAGGCCTACACCGGTGTAGCCCTTACCCAGGAGGTCCACTCCATAATTTTCATTGCCAAGATGCTGAAATAGGGAAGTGAGGGTGGGGAGAAGGATGGAGGCTGTGTAGCTGAGAACCTTAGCCACTCCTCTAGCCTGTTGACTCCTACTCTGAGGCAAAGAGACCAAGGTCACTGAAAGGTTTTCCACAGTCATCTCCAGATCAGCTGCAGCTGCCTCAAAGAATGAATGCAGAGACGCATGGATAGACTCTGAGGTTGACTTTGTCAATGTCCTAGGGTGAAAGCAAGAAAAAAAAAATTTTATAATGTGTAAAAATTCTTGATATATTGTGTAAATGCATAAGGTTAATAATTGATTTTTCTACAAAAATAGATAATAAAATGAAAAGTGCAGAAAATGTTAAAGGTTTCATGCTGTGACTCTTTTAGCTGGCTGTAATAAAACCAGTTAAGTAGACTAAATCAGTTGCTAATCTATCCACCAGACAAGTCTAAATGACATCAATCTTCACTGTGCCACGATTCTACTTCTAGTGTCATGCTTCAGAGGCATTATCCTCAGGGAGTAAATGTGGTATCAACCACAATTAGATAGCATCAGAGTATCAGTGGCTCATTTACGCCAGTCATCTCATCCTCTGACATGGTGGTGTGACACTGATGTGACCTCAGGGAAAGCAAGAAAATCAATTTGGGCTGAATATGACATAGCAGTGCCATCTAGCTACCTGGCATCCAGGGCCTGAGCCAAAACACAAAGGCTGCTTGCAACTGATGATGCTTCGCTTCCTGAGAAAACACACCATAGTACTTTAATTGGATTTGTAAGCATAAATGCACAGAAAAAAAGCATACTGTACATAACATGCAACAACAAGTTAGATGAAATTCAAACTATCAAATCTAAGAGAAAGTTTTTGAGAAATCTGAACACTAGATATAACCATGGACAGCCAGAGAGCAAACCAAGGAAGCAACAATCAGCAGAACAAAAGAAGCAAATTATACTCAAAAAAGCTTTATTTCCACACCATCCTTACCAAAGAGTGAGACTCTGTGTCTTGCTAGAGCTGCTAGCCTACAAAAGAGGCTGGGTGTGAGGAGAAAAGACAAGTGAAGTAATGAGGAGAGAGAGGAGTGGAAAGTAATTACAGGGCACAAACATCTGAAGAATGACAGCACGGATGAACAAAACCGTGACTAAACCTTACTTAAAAAGTTCTATTATTATGCAATATATGTCTGGAAAACTCTCACATAACAATTTGATGTGTAAGAGCATAAGACATTTTTAAAACACTACTAGTGTAATCAACATACTTTACTTTGCTGGGGGTGACACGTACCATGCAATCATCTCCTTTTCCTTTTTTGAGGCAAGGTTTCTATTGCCACTTGAGCAGAGAGAACTGGAGAGGAAATACAGACGGTGGCTTTTCACATACTGTTCCACAAGGGGAAGGATGACCTGTTGAAAAGATTAACAGTCAATGGTCAATTCATAAATCAGCACATATTATCTATGTTTTTCATAAATTTCAAATGTATATATTTTTGTAAATGTTTGATAAAAAAAGCTTAATCATCCTGTTGAACATCACAAAAATTCCGTGCCTGCTTACCCTAGTGCCTCACTGAAGCTACATTGCACTCACTGAGATAAATATTTTCATATCACTACACCATTAAAATCAAATAAATAACTCTAGAACTCTTATCACTTGCTGAAAAACATTTTCCAGTAATTCCTGTAGCATGAAATGTTTCAAATTTCTTTGAATGCGACTATAATTTCAAATATATTTCTTGACTGGGTGGTGCCTGCTTGTTAAACATAATGTTTGTCCCAGACAAGGACCTGTGGTGGAAAGAAGTAAACATTTTGCACTCTACAAGTTCTTCTAATGAAGAAAAGGCAATTCATGAAGAACAAACAGACAAATGGACAGACGTGGTTGTGTGTGTGTACGGTTGAGTGTGAGATGTGAGGTGTAGGGATCTGAGGCATGACTGTTCATAGCTGTGGCTGACTGGGTCTGACTCAGGGGGGTCCTGTCAAAAAAAAAGAAACCTTTTTCATTCACTGCTGCCTTGGAGACAGAACTGTATGGGAACTGGAGCTTTAATCAGTTTCCTAATGGCAACTGACATGCCCACGTGGATTTCCAAAACAGTTAACAAATTACACAGCCGAAAGGGTTTTATCTGTTGCCCATGGAAACATCTAACAATTAATTATAACACATATATGAAATAAGAAAAAATGCTAAGGAGAAAAAAAAATTGGCACAAAGGTGAAATTCAAAGGGGGCTAAATTAAAGAGATTACTTATTAGATGGTAGATTTTGGCTTGTTTGACTATGCATTCAGTCAGAGGCAAACCTTGAGGAAAAAATGTATTGGTTGCTGGTGAGGAACTCTCTCTCCTTTAGACATGTGTCCTCTGGCTTGCATCACCTCTGGAAAGAAAAGCACAATCCAATACTGAACCCCATTTAATCAAAGACTAAAGCTACTATGATACTACAGACAAAACACAAAATGTGTAAATAATTCAACTGCTTCTATGTAACTATATAAGACAGGCTAACATATCCTGGCCTGACCTAAAATATTTCTGAAGGTTCAAATCAATACTACCCCAAGGCAGACTCGCTGAATATAGACTCTAGACTCATCACTCACAAAATCAACTGTGAAGATTCAAGGCCCAGTGTGGTGTTCAAAACCATACAGTATCAGGTAGATGGTGCACACTCTTTAGGATATAGATCATGAAAGGTATGCCATGCTATTTTATTTTTTCTTTATATTCATGAACACTATCATGTTACCCAGCTCCAACATATGCTCTTGGGCATCCTCAGTGTGTAACAGCAGCTGCTGGAGGACAGTGTAGCCAAAGCAGTTGGCTATG